CCATAAATGGCAGAAACAATGAGGGCTTTGTTTGTGCTCTGCATGGTTTGGCTGGGAATGCATTTGCATTCTGTGAAAAGAGTTTTATTTTCTCATGGGACAGTTGTAACTGATGCTGGAGAACTTTATGGCCCATGGTGTTGGAAATTAACTGTCCTTGTAGAAAAGGGCCATTTAATTGACACTTCCAAAATAAGTGCACTTCAAAATACAGGCTACCTGTCTGTCCCTGTATCTTTTTGAATGCCTTGCTGGGAGGAATGGAGTGCAAAATGTTTCAGGCAGTCCTAGCCCCTCACAGTCCACAACAGCATTTAGTATAAATTTACTGTGTAATTCTTCCCAGAAGCACTCTGTAGTTCTGGTAATGCCTTTTGTTTCTGGATTACAGATATAAATGAATGTGAAAGCAGCCCATGTGTCAATGGTGCCTGCAGGAACAACCTTGGGTCGTTCCACTGTGAATGTTCATCTGGCAGCAAGTTGGACCCTACAGGACTGATATGTATTGGTGGGTATTTCCTCCCTTTATTTTCCTTTTTTATAAATAAATAAATACACACGCATATTCTACATATATGTAAAAATGTTGGCATCATTTGAGGATTCTTTTGGGAAAAAAGCAGAGCGCTGCAGAGATCTTACTGGATCTTAAGAGTAAGCAGCAGCAGTTGCCTGCAGGGCATCACTGGCATTGTCTTTGAAAGTCATTCATCAATGTGGTTTTTTTTCTTGCCTTCCTAAGAAAATTCAGAAGGGTTTCAGTTATCTGTACTTCACAGGTGTTCATAAGCTGCCATTATTTCATATTTTTTGTGTAGTGTAATTGAAATTATTGTAGGTTATGTGTGGTGCTCCAGCTGTATTGCAGTGTCATTAATAAGTGTGTGTCATTATTAAGTGGGTGATGCTAATCTTAAATGTTACTTTTGTTTTCAGGTGGATTTGTTTGGCATTTTTCTTTGGAGTTTTTCATTTGAATTTTCCTGTCAGGATTTTCTTAAGGTGGAAAAATGAATGCAAAGACTAGAGTTTCTATTTAATTATGGAATTTTTCCATGCCTTAATATGTTTTTTAAATTAATGTTACATTTGTGCCTAAGCCTTCTGTTCTATTTCCTTGTAGCACCACTGGCTGGTAAAGTTTATTATTGTTTTTGTTATTTTCATGTTGTGCTAATTTCTTGATTTAACCACGCTAACCTGTGCTTTTTGTACCTCATTTTTAATCTTGTGTTCTTACATCCAAAGGGGCCACAAGTTCACCAAGAGCCTAATTATAACAGTGCTCTGGATTTACTTTGCAAATAGTTTTTGTTGGATTGTTTATAGCATAAGGTCCCATTTGGCCTTAATAGCAGTGATAAATACCATAAAATATAAACAACAAAATCAGCTGAGAGGTCAGATAAAAACTGAAGAACAGGATCCAGCTACATACTGTGAGCATAATCATTAGCTTTTCATGTTGACAAAAGTTGTCTCAAGAACCATGTTTTTCCACTACAAGTGTGCATATGTTAAGACAGAAGGGTCAGAAGTAGAGCTAAGCAAGACATACAGATTTTTATTGCTAGAGCCCAATTTTTCCACCTTGGTCAAAATTTCATTGGCATTGGAAGCAATGAGAGGAGGGCAGGCTGGGTTATTAAAAAGTGACTGAGAAACTAAAATGTTCTTAGCAAATGTCTGCCATTTTAAATCTCAAGTTGATTTTCCTTGACTACCCCTGTAGAGAAACACTTTTATATTGAAAATGTTTGTCCTATTTTTTTAAAATCAGATTGCTATTGTAAAGCATTGTTGTAACATTTTTTTTTTGCTTTCCAATTTGCTCTCATGTTAGAACCAGAATCAGTACCACATTATTCAGCATAGATGTGAGCCATTTGGCTCTTTCTGTGAGCTTTTCTGGGCAGAGAGAAAAACGCCTTGCTCAGATAACAGTCAGAATGCAATTCACAGCATTTGCATTCAGATTTAAGCTGAAACCTTCGGCAAATGAGTGTTGCAAGTTCAGCAGTTACAATAAAAACTTTCAGCAATGATATTGACATACTTTGCTTGTTCATGAGCAACTTTTGCAATATTAAGACCACGCTCGTGGAGGGGAAGAAAAAGGGGAATAGTTTTTGAAGCATATTTGAAATATACAAGTGTTTCATTGCTATTTTGGGAATTGCTATGCCTTAGGGATATGCCGGTTATGCTTTTTGAAATACATGGTTTTACTTTTACACACTTTGACACATTTTATTTTAGTCAAGGTTTGTGGAGTTCATACAGTGCACAGTAAGTAGGATGCCATCTGCCTGTAGTATGCATATATTCTTCTTCAAGTCAGAATCAAAGAGATAAGAGCAACAGAAGGAATGCTTTGATGTTGGATAATAACTCTTTCACCAACGATTTTTGTCTGGACAAAAGAGACAATGCAAAGTAAAAGGAATAGCCTGAAAAAGATAAGGCTAGCTGACTTTGGCAGGGTAGTGTGGATGCAGCTGGTGTGAGCAGAAGCACCTGCTAATTCATAGAATTTAAATAGTTTTTGAGATACTGGTTTTGATTTTTAACTCCTATAAAGTTGGCTAGTAAAAGGAAATACTGTTGAGCTCTATATTTATGCACTTGTTCAGACGTGGAGCTCTGTCCCACATGTTTGCTAGCAATATTAACCTAAATAATACAACTGTTATGCACTTAACTGTTAATGAAATACTCTGCCCAGTTTCTTGGGCTGATTTCACTCACATTATTGGGCGAGATTTTTTCCTGTTGCTTTAACGAAAGAAAGGTTGTCCTTTCTGTGCATCATTTTTTTAACATAACAACTTGGTAGAGAAGTTGAAGCTGTTTGGAAGAAAATAAGCTGGAATTATTCTGTCTTGAGCACATTGCTCCTGAGCATGAGGTATTGGTAATATATCTGGCTTTTTGCACATACAATGCATGTAAATCTTAAACCCAAATCCTGTTCTCCCTTCATTATTCATCAAACTAAATTTGTCTGGATGACTTGCTTGGCTTTGAACTCTGAGTATGCACCTACATTTAAACCCTGCCCAGGCTGATCTCCCAGTTTGAGTCTGACCTTACAGGCTGCTTTTGCTGTCTGATCACCAAGGTTGTTGCCTGTCTCAAGAAATGTACCATTTGAGAGTAACCCTGTAAAGGTAGGGAAGTGTAAAGGTGTTGAAGGTAAAACTTGTAATTTGAAGGTAAAACTTGATTTGAGATCTGACTGACTTTTCAAAGTGCAGCAGCAGAACGAGACCCCTAAAATAATATAGAACACTCCTACCCACCACGTTTTGTTTTTTTTTAAACTTCCTTAAGATTTTGAAGGCTTCCCTTCAAGAGAGACAAGAACACCTGTATTTCAGAAAGGGTTCAGGCAGTCATCTAGGAAAGGGAGTGAGGCTGGGATCTCTGCTTTTGTATATTTTAGATAGATCAGCCCCTAGCTGAATTAAATTAATAAATTCTCTGCAGTGTCTGGAAGAACTCTGCCAGCTGTGGGACCTGGACTCTAAAATGCCTCAGGGAGGTTCTTTGTTGGTCACTTTCTTTGTGTTCATCTTTTCAGTGATAGTGCTATCCCTTTACACCAGTTCTAAACTAAAATGTGTACAAAATTACTCTTATGGAAGTTTTTTTCTTTTTAAAAAGAGCCTGTGTTCCCGTGGTGCTCTGCCTGTTGGTGTCGTGGACGTGGCATGCCAGCTCTTCCGGCTGTGATAGTTCTTTGCTTGATTTTTGCTTTCTGTTCTGCTGCAGACAGCCTGAAGGGGACTTGTTGGCTTAATATCAGAGACAGCCACTGTGAAGTCAACATTAATGGTGCCACTCTGAAGTCTGAGTGCTGTGCTACCTTAGGAGCAGCTTGGGGCAGCCCATGTGAACGGTGTGAATTGGGTAAGCTCCAAAATCCTCCACCTTTTGGGAGAAGGGAGTAAGTATCACTAGTAGATTGTTATCATCTCTCTGTATTAAGAAGAACCCAACCAAAAGCCACCCCCCCAAAAAACAAAATAATAAGAAAACCCTGACCAACCGAACCAAATGAAAAACCACTAAAACAACCCCCTCCTAAAAAATACGGAAAGAAGTTGTCTTGTTTAGAAGTTACCTATTTTAGACTTGCAATCTCCAGCATTAAATATAATTCCAATAACTTTGAAGCATTCCATGAAATAACATGTGAGTAAACCTCATAATGGCTACAATATGTTTCGTCTCTACAAGGACTGTGTATTGACTGGGATAGGGAGGTAAAGGGCTAAAACAGTAAAGTGAAATATCTGATAAAATTCTGGACTTTTTACGTTGTGGGCTGTTAACACTTTTTTTTCCCAGCTCTTTTCAAACACGTAGCCTGTGTACCATTATTGATTGCAGAAATAGTACTGCTGATGGATTGCAGGGCTAGTTATGGAAGCTGGAAGCAGCAGTGCTAACTGTACTCTAGTTATGGCAAAAATACTGATCCCCTTAAGGTTTGAAAACTGCCACTGGCAGCTGAAGGGGTGTCAAGATGTTTTAGCCTCTCATTACTGTTCAAACCTAATTATTCTGGACAGGTAATTAGCTCAGGTTGGGTGTGTTTGGGTCGTGAATTTCTTATTCTGTAACTAGTTAAATCACAGCAAGTTCTCAAATCATTATATGCTGCTACATTTTACATACATCTCCTGAAGTAATCCCATTGCTCAGATCCATTATTAAACTTCGGTGAAGAAAAAAAGCTGATAATTGACTTCACTAGAGTTTAAATCTACTGGCCTCTTGAAGGAATTTTACTTTTTAGCTACATGTGAGTGCAGAGACTGATCTGATTAGATGCTGATCATTTCACTAGGGAAAGCACATGAGAAAGTAATGGTCTAAGATGTAATTTCAATTATTCACTTAAACAGCATGTATCAGTCAATACTTTTCTTAATTGAGGCTCAAGCACTCCCCCCTTACACAGTAAAATGATAAGTGAATTCTGAAGATACCTGTATTTTTAAATTTTGTGCTCCTGCATTCCTGTCACTCTAAAGCAGTAACAATATATCCTTCTGGCTTGATTCCAGACACAGCTTGCTCAAGAGGATTTGCCAGAGTGAAGGGTGTTACCTGTGAAGGTGAAGTTTTTGCTTCTTACTCAAGATGTCATTTTTTTCTCCCCCTTTGAAAATGTGGTAGAAGTGGATTTATTGTGTTGTTTCTTTCCTGTCACTTAAAATTCTCCATAAAGCTGTTGCTGTCCCGTGGGAGTCAGCAGGTAACCCAACTCCTTGTGTCCCCGACAGATGTAAATGAGTGTGAGGTTTTCCCGGGGGTTTGTCCCAATGGGCGGTGCGTCAACAGCAGAGGCTCCTTTCACTGCGAGTGCCCCGAGGGGCTGACCCTGGACGGCACAGGGCGAGTGTGTTTAGGTAAGAGCGCACCCCACTCTCACAGCTGTGTCCCACAGCTGTCCAAAATCGTTCTTCAAGGGGCTTGAACGAAAGCGTGGTTTATTTCTGATTTATCCCTGATAATGTGCCTACTTAGATATCAAATATCTGTGCCAGTTCAGAGAAGAGCTGTTAATTCCTTCGAGGAATGAGTTTGTCTTGGGGCTTGTTTTGCTCTCAGTGCCGTCAGTAGGCTGTGCTAAAGTGCTGTCTCTGCTCTGACTCCTTTTCAGGAGCAGCAGTGTCTGATGGACGCTGAGCACAAATATGCTGATGCAAATTAGTCTTTTTTTTTTTCAGTGCACAGACCAGTGTCTGGTTCTTGTGATATTTGGGTACACAAGTACAAGATTTTGCCTGCACACTTGGTCGATTTGTCTTCTGGTTGACCTGCTTTGCTGCTAACAGGATAGACCCTTGAGTATAATAATCATGATTGCCTTTTCTGGAAATCCTATTGTATTCTCCTGCTAACTGCTGTTACAGTAAGCTTAAAAACAGTCAGCTCTTTTTATTTTTAAGCTGTATTCACTGCAGTATTAAATTAATTCAGTAACATAAATATAGTGAAAAAATTGTAATTTTTTCCCCTACTGTTTAATTTTATTCCTTTTTTAGCCATGAGAGCCACAAAACGATAATTTCATAAGTCAGAGTACCTAGTACAATAAAGAAATACGTGTTTCTGTCCTATCAAATGAGTCATTTTATAAGTGAGAATACTTGGTGCAGTAAAGAAACACATGTGTCTGTCCTGCCAAACACATACAAAATCCTTAAAACCAGAGTCATGTGAGGGAGAGTAAGGGTATATCTTGATACTGGGAGACAACAGAAGAAATTCTTGTACTTTTACATGGCACAAGAAAGATTTATAAATTTAACTATAGTGCAACATTAGCAGCTTTAAATGGCTGAACGTTGTGCAGAAATGCAGAGTCTTGAGGAGGAGCTGAGCATTGATGTGTGCTTGTGTTCTCCCAACTGATGGGGGCGATTTCAAAAACACAGACATCAATGGAAAGAATGGTGTTACTTTACTAAGAATATAAAGTCAACACAAAAGTAAAATAATACATTCAGTAAAAATACACACTTGTCTTCAGCAACAAGCAAAGGTAGTGCACCTAATTGTTACTGTATGAGAAAAAGGACAGTGATTGAGAATGATCCATCACCATATGGTTAAATACTTTATCATCATCCAGATCCTCAGTGGCTGGGGAGCCTCATCCACAGTGAGGATCTGGAGAACCCTTCCCAGCAATTGGGAAAATCCTTACGCTTTGTATCTACCTGTAGCTGAGGTCTCGAAATTTGCCCCAAAAGTGGGTCCAGCTTTTATAGGCCCAGATCACCAAGCTGAGGTGACTTGAGATTTTTAGCACAGAAACTCTTGGATTTGATGGTGCACGTCCTGACCAGCAGGGATCAGGGCTTGGCCCAGGCCCCAGACCTCAGCTTGGAAGGTTTCCCCTAAAATACCCTACAAACAGACCTCTATTCATGAAGAAACTGATGCCTTTCCCAAGGCTCCCTAAAACCACATTGGCCAGACAAAATTAAGGGAATAAAAAGTGGTTATATTTATTCAAGGGCCTTCAGGTACATCTAGGGCAGACAAATCCCCCCAGGGGCTACACCCAAAATGGACAGTGGGCCATGGCTTTTCAGACTTTGGTAAGTCTGGTCCATTTGCACATTGGGGGTTGATCTCCCAGTTCCAGTGTTGGGTAATAAAATCATTCATCCCCAGTTTGCTGCCCCCAACTCCCTTTTGTTTGCATTTCTGGGGCCTGAGGCACTGAGGTGTCCTTGATTCCCAGCCCTGGAGAGTAACTGCTCTGTCTGACCAAAATGGGAAGACAGTAGCTAACACTGTACGTAGAGTTTAGAGTTTAGAATTATACACTAAACAATTGCAGGACTATATAAAATATAAATATATGAAAAATATACAAGGTAAAATCCTGAGCCATCTATGGCACTTAGGAAAGTTTCTTAACATGATACATTTCTTGTAGATAACTATGCAAGGTTATACAGAGCTAGCATAAGCATCTTTGTCATCTATTTTTATATAAATAATACTGGTGGTGTTAACCACACAGTGCCCAGGATTCATCTTGTAAGTCAGCTCTGGCTGAGGCCTGCTGCTCAGGCCTCAGCACGCTGAGCCTGAGAAAGAGCTGAGAAGAGGGATAAATGCCTGTTTGTTGTTGTGGAACGCAGATATTCGCACGGAGCAGTGCTACCTGCGGTGGGAGGAGGAGGAATGTGCGCAGCCCGTGCCCGGCAGGCTCCGGATGGATTCCTGCTGCTGCGCCGTGGGGGCCGCCTGGGGCTCCGGCTGCGAGCGCTGCCCCATGCCCGGCACCGAGGAACACCGGGCCCTGTGCCCCAGGGGACCCGGATTCTCCAACAGAGGGGATGTTCTCACTGGCAGGCCGTTCTACAAAGGTGAGCGTTCATTCTTGTGCCTGAGGGTTCACTGTGGATGTATCCGAGAGGGTATTCCAGGGTTTGAGGCTGCTTGTTGAGTGCTTGAGAGATGGGATGAAGGCATTTGCCTGAAATAGTTGATGGTGCTGATGCCTTGGAGTGGCTGCTTAAAACAGAGGCTAGACAGGATGAAGAGAATAAATAGATATTTAGATAAATAAAGAGAAATAAATATTGAAGGCCTTCAATGGGTGCACCTTGAGCAGTCAGAAACCTCCAAGGGGCTACACCCAAGGTGGACGAAGGTCACAAGTTTTTCACACAGTTAAAAGTTCGGTCCATTTGCATGTCAGGGGTTAATCCTCCAATTTAAGCTTCAGGTAATGAAGTCATTTACTCCAAGTTTGGCCCCCCAATTCACTGTTGATTACATCTCTCAGGGCCTGAGACAGTAAGGTGTCCTTGATTCCAAGGCCTAGAGAGGAATTGTTTTGCCTGAATAAAATGGGAGAACAGTAGATGACAGGCTATGGAGTTTCAGAGTTGTACAGTAAAGCAGTATAGGATCTGAAAAATATGAAATTTAAATCCTAAGGTATAGATTCTGGTGTCTGAGGATTAGTTGTGGGTACGTCTGAGAGGATATCCTGAGGAAATTCCAGGGTTTGAGGCTGCTTGTTAAGTGTGCTTGAGAGATGGCATAAAGGTATTTGCCTTAAAGAGCTGATGGTACAGGTGGAGGGATTCTCTGCTGTCATGGGAGCTTGAGACCAAAAGGTGCAAAGTCTGAATTGGGTAAGGAGAAGAAGGGAATTCCTGAAAGGAGAGCAGCTCTGAATTACGGGAATAACACAGAATGTACACACTTTTTAAGGTCATGCTTTGCAGGGGGTGAACTGAGTGTCAGATGGTCTGTGAAACCAGTTATTTGAGATATAAACATAAAATATTACTGAAATTTGACCAGGGCTCTCTGGGAGATTGAAGAGAGATGGGTTCTTTCTCTGGTTTGCAAAATCAATGAGTGATTAAAAGGAGAGGGTATCTGTTGGGGTATGTCCATGAGGGCAGTGACAACAAGGATCTGCAGTGATAAAGGAGTAAATAAAAGTATTTATTTAGTCCAGTTTTTGCTAGCTTCATCTCTGCAGAGCAGCAACAAATAAGCTGAAAAATGTTAAGAAACCAGATCCAAGTGTCTTCAGGTGTCTAAAATCTGAGAAGAAAAACTAGTTTTCTGTGTCCAGAAGCTCCTGTAATTTGTTAGTTTTCATTTTTTTTCTTTTCTTTTTTTTTTTGTAAGGATATATTCTGAAGCATTTATCTTGGAATATTTTGAGTTGCTTGAGAAAGCTGTAACAGATTGGACCTCTGCTTCACCATATGAGCCCTGATTTTCAGGAGCCATTACTCTCAGGCAAAGCTCTTGATTTCTGTTGGTCATTTACTAAAGAAATAAGGAAAATAACAACAACAATAGAAACAATAATTTTATTGTATTATCAACATCTGTTCAATTAAAAAAATTAATTATTTCATAAATCTTATCTAGGCTGAGATATTTTGAGGTTTGGTGTTTTTACACCAAGGTTTTTGAGGTTTTCTGTTTTTACATTTGGAACACAATTGTGTTCCACTCACAGAAATGCATGGGAGGTAGATGTTTATTTCATTGAAGGTGATTCTCAGTTAAGAGCATTGCCTCAGCAAATTATATCACAGAGTGTAGGAAAGGTCATTCAGCCTTGTGCTGTGCAAGATCCTTTAACAGTTTATGTTACCCAGCATTGAGGAGAGGTGAAATATTTCAGCTGATAATCTAAAAAATAAAAAATGCCATTTTCAGATCTGAGCTCCAGATAAAACTCTGTCAGTCTTAATTTAAAAACCAAACCCAGTCAGCCTGGTCCAAACCCAGTCAGCCTGGTAATAGTTGGGTATTTCACAAGCTGGCTCAGGAATGCCAGGAATATTGATTGTGGCACAAGGCAAACTTGAGCACAATACACATACCAGAATTTCAACTCAGAGGGTATCTCTGAATTTCTTTGACTGCTGATAAACATAAACTTCTAATTATTGGTTTGGGTATTGTGAGGCAAGGAAAACACAGATAGCACAAATGTCTCACTTCCAGTCAAGTCTCCAGGGATGTCCCCTCTATCCCAAACCCAGCCTTTTATGCTCAGTGCGTAAGAGGAATTGGTAGGAAGGATTAGGAAGTTCTGTTGATTCCATATACCTTTGTGCTTAAGAATTGCTTAATTCTTTATCCTTAATTACTTTCTTTGTTTTTATTCCTAGATATCAATGAATGTAAAGTGTTCCCTGGCATGTGCATGAACGGTAAATGTAGAAACACAATTGGAAGTTTCAAATGCAGATGTAACAGTGGATTCACTTTAGATATGGAGGAAAGAAACTGTACAGGTAAGTAAGCCTTGCATTTTCCACAGTTTTCAGTAGAATCATGGAAAAATCTGGTTGAAAAAGACCTGAAAAGGCCAATTCCTTCGACCTGTTGTGGGGAAAGGGAACCCAGATGAGATTATCTAGCACCCTGTCCATATTAGAAACATCCAGTGATGGGAGCTCCACCATATCCCTGGTGCTTTTCAGAGGGGCTTGCTCATGACATAGCTTGTTGATGTGGAAACCTAATGCCATTCATTTCCTTCAGTTTCTAAGAGCTTAATCTTTAGACAGAATGGCCAAAAATCTCAAGTTTCCCTTGATTGTTTAATGAATACAACACTTTTCTCTTTTTATAATTGGTATTTACGATGCTCAGGTCATGCTGTATCAGTACTACCTGAAAAATCAATAAGGATCACCAGTGAAGCCAGGTTTAGTGTTCTAATATGGATATTATCTTAATTTATGTTTCTTAGTCTCTGGTCATTGTGTTACCAAATGAATTTAGAGGCTGCAAGTTAATTTTCATTTAGATTTGATGGCTGAGCATACACAAGGGTGCCTCAGCTATTCTGACACCAGTGCAGCATGAACTCAGGAACATACAGACACGTGCGTTTAATTTCCAAGCTTAGGATTTTGTTCTTTACTGTCTGGAAAATCTGAAGATAAGCTTTACAGTTCTGTGGCTGTGAGAACTTGGATGCCTGCGTTGTGGGTGGCTCTGTGCTGAAAATGAAGGAGGTTTTGTTACGACATACAGGCGTCCATGAGTGTGTCTGAGTAATAACTATGAAGTGTGGGTGGTAAGGCATGTTCAGTGAGGTTGGTCTGGATGCTAGTGTTGCCCTAACTGGTGATTTCCTTGTTTTTATAATGATTGCATTGATGAAGAATGCATTTAACAAACTTTATTCCTAAACTAACCAGAATAGGTCAGAAAACCTTCTGCAAAAGCTTTTTTCACTTCTGTTCCATGGTGCTGAAATCATTCCACTAAGCAGCTGTAGAGAAACAGGTTTTCCTAAATAGATGACTTTTTGGGCTGTTTTAAATCAGCAGGAAATTGTTTTATAAAGCTTGTATAGGAGCCCAGATACTCAGTAATGTCCCAGATCTGCCACGTGGGTCTGACACCTCCACACATCTGTGAGGAATGGGTGTCATCACCTAGCAGAAACCTATCCATGGGCAGCCCTCCTCTGCAACACTGACCTGTTTCACTGGATCATATCCACATCAAAATTCCTCTTGAGATTTCTGACTCATTACCAGTGTGATTTAAAAAGAGCTCTTCTGTCTTTTCTGCTATAGTTTTCTGCAGTAGGTTTCATTCAAACTTAACTAGCATGACAACCACTGAACTGTAAATCTAGCTTTGATAGGAGTTAATTCCTAAAGGAAATGGTGTATGTAAGCTCATAGTGCTACTACTGGATAAATATCTTCATAGTAATCAAATTATAATCAATGGCATTGTAGTCATGGAGTCAGTTGATACATCTGTAAGAATGATAGCTTGGAATGTTCTACATTTAGTTATTTCCTTAAGAATCTAACCTTAAATTACACTTAATAGAAGCAAACTTGTTAACGTAGTTTACTATGACCTGAGAGCTCTGAGGACACAGCCTTGCAAATCTCTCATTAACTGTTTCACATAATCTGATGTATCTATAAGTAATTATTTTTTTCTCTATTGACTTGCATACTGTAAATGGTTTCTGTAGACTTAATTTGTAGTGAATTTTTTTTTCTGTGAAAAGCAGGATAACCTTAAACCCAATTTGATTTTTCTGCCCCTCAACTGCTGTGAAACAGACATTGATGAATGCAGGATCTCCCCAGACTTGTGTGGAAGTGGTGCTTGTGTCAACACTCCTGGCAGCTTCGAGTGTGAGTGCTTTGATGGCTACGAAAGTGGATTTATGATGATGAAGAACTGCATGGGTAAGTGTTGCCAGGATGTCCTGGAGTCTCTGTTTGCTGTGTAAAGCCTGTTATCTGAACTGCCACACTGAACACTTCAGATGTGTCATTATTGTGACTTCATGACCAAAGAGTCAGATATGCTGTTTATAGAGACAGATAACTGAATTAAGTATATAGCCTTGCTTGTTCTCTGTGCTAATTACTTCTACCCTTAAGAGACACTTACTCTGTACAGATATTTTAGAAGGGCAGTAACTCTTCACACAATTCATTTAAAAACTGCTAATGGGGTACCCAAATATTTGGTAAAGCTAGGAATAGAAAGCTGGAGTTTCAAAACCAGTGTCAATCCCTTTTCATTGCTTTTTCTAGGACTCAAGAAATTCTCACAGCATTTACTGGAAAAAAAAAATTTACATCTCTTTAATCTGTTTAAAGTTGTAAGAATGGGTCTGGAGACACCAAAAAGTGTCCAGCCACCTTAAAAAATCTTGACTTACGCCTCTGTCACCTTTGCTTGTTTTCCTGCAAATTGTCATACTTTCAGACT